CTAATTGCTGTACCTTGATAGAGGGTAGTAAATGCCCAACAAACATTTGCTGAATGATTTTTAGTGACTAGGTGTGCAGAGAGTACAGAATTAATGATTCAATTCAATTCAATTATTGAGTGTCTACTCTGGTTCACTGTGTCAATGTACCTAGAAAAAATACAATTATTCATTGTCTTTATACTAATATTTAAAAATATTTGAGAGATCAAAGGAATTTCATAACTGTGAAAGGCAAAATGCAGTTGGTTACCAACATTTTAGAATGAAGAGTAGAGGTGCGTGTATTAGGCTAAAGAAGGAACATGGCATGTGGGTGAACTTGCCTGGGAAGGTTTATGGAGTGTCTGAGACTTGAGTAGTGAAAGGATGCGGTGAAGTGAAGTTGGGTGAGGTGGGCTGGAAATGACTAAGAACAGGAACAGAGCCTCCCTCCTACACTGGAGGGAGCAAAAAGTTCTATTCCGATCTCCCTTCGGTAATGTGTGACACCAGAGTTTCTTTCTTTCTTCCTTCCTTCCTTCCTTCCTTCCTTCCTTCCTTCCTTCCTTCCTTCCTTCCTTCCTTCCTTCCTTCCTTTCATTCCCTCCCTCCCTCCCTTCCTTCCATCCTTCCTTCCTTCCTTCCTTCCTTCCTTCCTTCCTTCCTTCCTTCCTTCCTTCCTTCCTTCCTTCCATCACACCCCGCGATGCACAGCAGTTACTCCTGGTTCTGTGCTTAGGAATTACCCTGGCCCTACAGTAAGATACTTTTGAATCTACAAAAATCCACCTATGTTGTTACAGTTGTCTTCTCAAGTGTTTTGAACAAGATTCCTGCTTATGTCTTATTAGTTTAGATGAAACAGAGTATTAGAGAGACAAGGGAGAATTACTTTTTAGAGATTGATTTTTTGAGATTTTATTTTATTTTTTTTTTGTTTTTTTGTTTGTTTGTTTTTTGAGATTTTATTTGTTTGCTTTTTGGGCCATACCCAGCAGTATTCAGGGCTTACTCGTGACTCTGCACTCAGGCACCACTCTTGGTGGGGCCAGGGATAAAATTAAGTTGGCTGCTTGCAAGGTAAGCACCTTATCCACAGTACTCTATATCTCTGGGCTTTTTTGACACTTTAAATTCATGTGAGGGCATTATTGCAAACATTATTTGGTAGACATATTGGGTACTGAAGCTGGTTTAGAAAATAGTGGTGAGGATTTTCTAGAGCGATAGCACAGCGGGTAGGGCGTTCGCCTTACAAGCGACCAACATGGCCGACCCGAGTTCGATTCCTCCGCCCCTCTCGGAGAGCCCGGCAAGCTACCGAGAGTATTCGATATGCCAGACACAGTAACAACAAAGTCTCCAATGGAGACGTTACTGGGCCCGCTCGAGCAAATCGACGATCAACGGGAGGGCCTTTACCTTTACCTTTTTTTACTTTACTATGCGATTCTGGAGATAACTGTATAAGTCTGGGATACTTTAACAGTTAGTTGGATCTGATGTGGTTTTTGTTCCGTCTTCCCAGGTGTGACGAGGATACAATCTCTCTACATGAAGACCAGACTGATTGTTCCAGTCTCAGGTATGATCCACTATTACCAAGTTTTAAAAATACAGAAATCACTTGATCTGATGCCCTAAGACCCTTCTTTGCAACTGAAATATCTGTTCTCAATTTCTTTCCTGTTCTAATAAATTGACAGGTGTATCGCCCCAGTCAGGTGTACCGCACGACATCTTATTATCTCATTCTTACTTTGGACAAACTGGCAGGCTACCGAATGTAACCTGCCCACACGGCAGAGTCTGGCAAACTCCCCGTGGTGTACTCAATATGCCAAATACCAGTAACAATGATGGGTCTCATTCTCCTAACGATGAAGGAGCCTTTAATATGGCACTTTTAAAAAAGTCTCAGGGCTAAGATGAAGGGGACATTACTGGGGCCTGCTCGAGGCAATCGACGAACAACAGGATGGTCGTGATCATGATCTAATAAAATATCAGTTCTTGGGAGAAATTTTGTATTGTCTACTTTTGTACACCTTTCTTAGCATGGAAAATGGTGTATATATATATATGGGGAATAATCAATTAATGTATATCAAATTAAAATGATCTCAATGTCCCTATCATAGGTCTGAAGAAAAGATCCTAGATTTATTCACCTAACAGTGCATTGAATATTTGAAGTTTGGTCTTGGTCTTCAAAAGGACTAATGATATAATGACAGAATAGTTGACCATTTCTTTCAAATTTTACTTTATTCCAAGGAGTTTTATGTACATTTTATTATTTAATCTGAACAACTGAGAGAAGTTTTTTGTTTTTCTTACCCTGTAGATGTAGAAACTGAGGCTCAAACTAGCATATCCTCCACCAGGAAGAATTTGAACTCAAATATCTGACTCTAAAACTCATTCATGGGATGAAAAACAGTCATGAAAGTCTATTTTGTGAACCAGAATCCTGTCAAGATTACAGGATTGAAAAAGACAGACACATTTTCTCCCACAATTTAACCAAGGAGACAGGACTTTGATAAGCTGCAATGAAAATCTGTAGTCCGTTTAAGTGTTGTTATGTCAGAATAGACAGAGGGACACTCAAAAGGATCAGAAAGCCAAAAATTTTCTGGAGTGAATTGCTGAAGAAAGTTATATGTAACTTCTTTTTAGTGACCTGTAAGACTAATGAAAAGTTGATTCCAACAAGCAGAAGGTGCATCTAGCAGAAAGTCTACAGAGAAGAGAGAGAATAGCAGAAGGAGAAGGAATAGCAGGCAATTCTAGGTGGCAGGAACTTTGAGAGCTGGTTAGAAATGAAGGGATCTGGAGGTGGTAAGAAAGGAAACTTCAGAAGTAAACAGAGACTAGGTTCAAAGGTTTGAGGAAGATACAGTTTGCTTCCCTTAGCTAGGACCTTTCTCACCTATCAAGTCTAGGTGTACTTTGCTAAGGACTTTGGAATTTATCCTGGAGGTATTGAGAGGACTGAAAAAAGAACTCTCTTTTGCTCTGCAAGTAACTTTTTGCCTAAGGCCCCCTGAGAGAGTAACAATAGCTCCTATTTATTGGAGTGTGGCCTTGAGCCAGTTTGCTGTGGTCTACAGATCTAAGAGCCTCTAGATGACATTCATTGTAAGGATGAGGGACTGAGAGAAGTGTAGTGACCTAGGGATCATCACCAGTAAATGGAAAATCATACTGTTTTCTTCTGGAGCCTGTGCCCATTCTGCTAGGTAGGTTACAGTAAGTAGTGGCATTAACTTAACTTATACTTTTCTCTTTCAGAGCTTCTGAGAATCCATAACAGGCTTGACATATGCTTCTGAAGATGACTTTTGTAATTAGATTTAACACTGGTACAATGAGAGAGAACTACTTTTTCTCCCCTCCATCACCTTTCTCACCTTTCAAGTCAAGGATATAAAAGATGATTATAAATTTCGGATGCCTTGAAAATAATGTTGTAAAAACAAAGTTGATATGTTGGAGGACTAAGCTGATCAAGGACTAAGATTTGAAGGACTAAGATCCTTTGTTTTAGATTTGAAAAGTACTTGTTTCCCTTATTCTTGAATGTTCTAGAAGACTCTTTGAATACTACCAGTTAGGTTGCTGTAAAGACAGCTGTTTGTTTCTTCCTTTGTTTTCCCCACACCGGTACTTAGAAGGGGTGCTTGATTACTGTTTGTTTCAAATGAGAGAAAATCACTTCCAATGAACTAGAATAGCCTTCAATTCACTGTTTGGTGTTGACTTCTAAGCCTATTCATGAAGTTCTTTTAAATCATAAACGACCTTAAGGAAAAAAAACAGTGTCTGGGATAATTTTTTTCTTTCATGTTTTTATTTATTTTTAGTTGTTGACATTAGAAATTACTTTCTTTGTTGGATTCTCCTTTATCAGTAGCACTAAATCTGCCTTGAACCTTGAGTTTAACTGCTCCAAGTAGTTTTTATTTCCCTATGCCTTGCTTAACTACACTTGATTGTATGCTGGAACTTCTCTCCTAGAATTTGCTTTGTCCACCCCCCCCCCCCCCCCCACTGAATTTGATCCTCCCAACACACCGCTTAGCACATGTTATCTTTTTTTTGTTTGTGAGAAGGCATCTTGACTTGTGGGCCCAGCAATCCTTTGCTGGTCTTGTCTCTTGGCTTCCCCGGTCCTTGAGCTATGAGAAATTGCTTCCTACATGACCTTGCCAAAAATCCTTTCATAGATGTTGGTCAGGAAGTGGAGGAAAAACACCAGCAAGGAAAAATAACCACTAGTAAAGAATTGCATAGTCGAGTTTTAAGTGGTTTCCAGGTGTTTCTGGATGATGGTAGTGATTATGAAAAGAAAATAGCCCCTTTGGTTCTATTTGTCGTGTTTTTAGCAAAATAAGAAAATTGATGTTTCTGAACTTATGTGGGACATATGACTTGAAATAAGAGCATATTGTTTTGTTTTGTTTTTCGTTTTTTGGGCCACTCCTGAGTGTACACTGAGCTTACTCCTGGCTTTGTGCTCAGCAGTCTTTCCTGAAGGTGCTCAGGGTTTCCAGGCGCCAAGCTGGGTTGGTCATATGGAAGGCAGGTGATTTAACCTCTGTACTGTCTCTCTGGCCCCAAATAAGAGCATTATTATGTGACTGTTTTTCTGAGGAACTTGAAATAACAATAGATAATTGTGTCAAATTTGATTAGCAAATGAGAATAAAAAGTGCCACCCCAGCCCTGAACACATAAATGTAGTGCATTTGGTCTCAGGATTACTCATAAAAGCAAATTTCTTAAGTTTTTGTTTCAGAGTAATTGCATTATTTTTTTTTTGCCAGATAACATAAATAACATGTAAGTTCAGAAGCAACAGAAATATATCAGTTCCTCTTTCCCACAATGGTTTATTGTGGTGGGTTAGCTGGGTGTTTGGTTTGGTTTTTAGTTTTCTAAATTAGATCTTTGCTCTTTCAGAGATGAAGACAATAAGGAAAATTACCCTGACGCTAGGGCTCTCATAGAGGAGCCCACACTGCCCTCCTTTGAACCACTGCAGCATGTAGAGCAGACCCTGCTGGTGGAAGGTGTGCTGAGAGCCAGCATGGGCAACTTCAAGTCCCGCAAACCCAAATCCATCTTCAGAGCTGAGAATGGAAGGAACCACGGAGAAAGTCAGGTAACAAAGCAGATTTCTGTGGCCTTTGCCATGATGGGCTTCTGGAGACACGCAAGTGCTCTGGACAGACAAATTATTTAGCATCTTTTTGGACTGATATTCTCTGCTTGCAGAGGTAACTCGGTAGTAGAGCTAGAGCACTGAATTTATAATGCCTTGAATTTATGTCTTCCCCAAAGTACTCTATAATGGAACATCAAGTACTTGACACTGACCTTAATTTGTGGACCTACATAGTATGTTCCTTCTTGGAGAAAGTGGAGGAGGATTTCTAACTATCTTTACTGATTTCAGATATGCAGCTCTTGCCTAAACTTGGGGATTCTTCTCATAAAATTAAAAATCCTTGGTTGGTTTACTTGGGGCCTTTCTCCTTAACTTACAGTTTAATGTCTTGAATGTACGTTTTGTAAATTACAGTTTAATGTCTTAAAGGGTGAATGCATGTGCTTGTATGTGTGTGGAGTATCAAATTTTTTTTTCCCTTTATTTTATTTTTTTTTAAAGTTGTAGATTTACAATTTTTTGTGCTTTGGTTTCAATTATACAATGATCAGATACCCATCCCTCCACCAGTGCCCATTTTCCACCACCATGGATAATATCCCTCCCACCCCCATCCCCCCATCCCCCCTGTCTCTGTGGCAGGGCAATCCCCTGTGTTCTCTCTCTCCTTTTGGGTGTTGTGGTCTGCAAAAGAGGCATTGAGTGGCAAACATGTTCAGTCCATAGTCTACTTTCGACATGCATCTCCCCTCCTGGGAGGATCCTCCAAACATCCTTTATTTGGTGCTCCCTTCTCTATCTGAACTGCCCTTTCCTCTAGGATACCCGGCTGGCCTCTAAGTTATGGAGTAATCCTCCTGGTGCTGATCTCAGCTATTCTTGGGTATTAATCTCATACTTTGTTACTTTATATCCCCCAGATGAATGCAATCTTTCTATGTCTATCCCTCTCTTTCTGACTCTTTTCTCTTAGCATGATACTTTCCATATTGTACCACTTGTATGTAAATTTCATGACTTCATCTTTTCTAACAGCTACAGAGTACTCCATTGTGTAGATGTACCAAAGTTTCTTTAACCAGTCATCTGTTCTTGGGCATTCAGGTTTCTTCCAGTTTCTGGCTATTGTAAAGAGTGCTGCAATGAACAAACAAGTGCAGATGTCACTTCGACTATACATTTTTGACTCTCTGGGATATATTCCCAGGAGTGGTATTGCTGGGTCAAATGGGAGCTCAATTTCTAATTTTTTGAGAATCGTCCATACTGTTTTCCAGAAGGGCTGAACCAGTGGACATTCCCACCAACAGTGAAGGAGTGTCCCTTTCTCGCCACATCCACGCCAGCATCGGTTGCTTTTGTTCTTTTGAATGTGGGCCAGTCTCTGAGGTGTGAGATGGTATCTCATTGTGGTTTTGATCTGCATCTCCCTGATGATTAATGATGTAGAGCATTTTCTCATGTGCTTTTTTGTCATTCGGATTTCTTCTTTGAGAAAGTTTCTGTTCATTTCATTGCCCCATTTTTGGATGGGGTTGGATGTTTTCTTCTTGTGGAGTTTAACCAGTATTTTGTATATCCTGGATATCAACCCTTTGTCAGATGTGTATTCGGTGAATATCCTTTCCCATTCTGTAGACTGTCTTTGTATTTTGGTCACTGTTTCTTTGGAGGTGCAGAAGCTTCTTAGTTTAAGATAGTCCCATTTATCTATCTCTGTTTTCACTTGCTCGGCCAGTGGCATGGCATCTTTGAAGATACCATTAGCTTCAATGTCATGGAGGGTTTTGCCAACTTTATCTTCAATGTACCTTATGGTTTCTGGTCTGATGTTGAGGTCTTTAATCCATTTTGATCTTACTTTTGTACATGGTGTTAGGCAGAGTTCTGAGCCCATTTTTTTGCATGTAGCCGTCCAGTGATGCCAACACAATTTATTAAAGAGGCTTTCTTTACTCCACTTCACATTACTTGCACCTTTATCAAAGATTAGATGATCATATGATTGAGGGGAGATGTCAGTGTATTCAACCCTGTTCCATTGGTCTGCAGTTCTGCCTTTGTTCCAGTACCATGCTGTTTTAATTATTACTGCTTTGTAGTACAGTTTGAAGTTCGGGAGGTTGATTCCTCCCATTTTCTTTTTCCCAAGAATTGCTTTAGCTATTCGTGGGGGCTTATTGTTCCATATAAATTTCAGGAGTGTTTGCTCCATTTCTTTGAAGAATGTCATGGGTATCCTTATAGGGATTGCACTGAATTTATACAATGCTTTTGGTAGTATTGCCATTTTGACAATGTTAAGTCTCCCGACCCATGAGCAGGGGATATCTTTCCATTTCCTCATGTCCTCTTTTATTTCCTGAAGTAGCGTTTTGTAGTTTTCTTTGTACAGGTCCTTTACTTCCTTAGTTAAGCTGATTCCTAGGTACTTGATTTTCTGGGGCACAATTGTGAACGGGATTGTTTTTTTCATGTTGCTTTCTTCTCTCTCACTGTTTGCGTATAGGAAAGCCATGGACTTTTGGGTATTGATTTTATAACCTGCAACTTTACTATATGAATCTATTGTTTCTAGGAGTTTTTTGGTGGAAGTTATTGGGTTCTCTAAGTAGAGTATCATATCATCTGCGAATAGTGAGAGCTTGATTTCTTCCTTTCCTACCTGAATGCCCTTAATATCTTTTTCCTCCCTAATCGCTATTGCAAGTACTTCCAGTACTATATTGAACAGCAGTGGAGAGAGTGGGCATCCCTGTCTCGTCCCTGATCTTAGAGGGAAGGCTCTCAGTTTTTCCCCATTGAGGATGATTCTTGCTGTAGGCTTGTGGTAGATGGCTTTAATTATGTTGAGGAAGGTCCCCTCTATACCCATTTTGGCTAGGGTTTTCATCATAAAGGGGTGCTGGATCTTATCAAATGCTTTTTCTGCATCTATTGATATGATCATATGCTTTTTATCTTTTCTTTTGTTGATATGGTGGATTATGTTGATTGATTTCCGAATGTTAAACCATCCTTGCATCCCTGGGATGAATCCTACTTGGTCATGGTGTATGATCTTTTTGATGAGTAGTTGGATTCTATTTGCTAGTAGTTTGTTGAGGATCTTTGCATCTGTGTTCATCAGGGATATCGGCCTGTAATTCTCTTTCTTTGTGGTATCTCTGTCTGCTTTTGGTATCAGTGTGATATTTGCTTCGTAGAAACTGTTCGGAAGTGTTTTTGATATTTCAATTTCGTGGAAAAGCTTAAAGAGCATCGGGAGTAAGTCCTCTTTAAAGATTTGGAAGAATTCACTAGTGAATCCATCCGGGCCAGGACTTTTGTGCTTGGGGAGACTTTTTATTACCATTTCAATTTCCTTGATGGTGATAGGTCTGTTGAGGTATTCCAGGTCTTCTTGATTCAGCCTTGGGAGTCTGTAGGAGTCTAGGAATTTATCCATTTCCTCGAGGTTTTGATGTTCCGTGGCATAAAGCTTCTCAAAGTACTCCCTGAGGATCCTCTGAATTTCTGTGGTTTCTGTTGTAATGACCCCGTTTTCATTTCTGATTTGGTTTATTAGGGTTTTCTCTCTCCCTTTCTTTGTGAGTTTTGCTAGAGGCTTATCGATCTTGTGAATTTTCTCAAAGAACCAGCTTTTGGTTTCATTGATCTTTCGGATTGTTTTTTGGGTTTCCATCTCGTTAATCTCTGCTCTGAGTTTTATTATTTCCTTTCCCCTGTTCGGGTTGTGCTCCTTTTTTTGGTCCTTCTCCAAGCTCTTAAGCTGTGAGGTTAGGTTACTTATGTGTGCTCGCTCCTCCTTCCTGAGGAATGCTTGTAGAGCTATAAACTTTCCTCTTAACACAGCCTTTGCTGTGTCCCATAAGTTTTGGTAACTCGTGTTCTCATTTTCATTCGTTTCTAGGAATCTTTTGATTTCCTCTTTGATTTCCTGTCTAATCCACTCGTTGTTCAATAGTGCACTGTTTAATTTCTAGGTGTTTGATTTAGTTTTCTGTTTTTGTGTGTGATTTACTTCTAATTTCAGCGCATTATGGTCTGAGAAGATTGTTGATACAATCTCTACCTTCTTAATTTTATGGAGGCATGTTTTGTGGCTCAGCATGTGGTCTATCTTGGAGAATGTTCCATGTACGCTTGAGAAGAATGTGTATTCAGCTTTTTGAGGATGAAGTGTCCTGTATATATCTACTAAGTCCCTTTCTTCCATTGTTTCCCTCAAATGAAGTATGTCCTTGCTAAGCTTGAGTCTGTTTGATCTATCAAGAGGTGACAAAGCAGTGTTGAAGTCTCCCACTAGTATTGTGTTGCTATTGATGTCTTTTTCCAAATCTATGAGTAGTTGTTTTAAGTACTTTGCTGGTCTCTCATTAGGTGCATATACATTTATTATTGTAAGTTCTTCCTGTTGTACAGATCCTTTGATCAATAAGAAATGGCCTTCACTGTCTCTTATGACCTTCCTCACTCTGAAATCGATGTGGTCTGATATAAGGATGGCTACCCCAGCTTTTTTATGGGAGCTGTTTGCCTGTAGGATTGTTTTCCAGCCTTTGACTCTGAGTCTGTGTTTGCTTTGACTATTGAGATGCGTTTCTTGCAGGCAGCAGAATGTTGGGTTCAATTTTCTAATCCATCCTGCCACTCTATGTCTTTTAATTGGTGCGTTTAGCCCATTGACATTGAGAGAGATTATTGTTATGGGATTTTGTCCCATTGTTCTGTTAAAATTTGGTGTATTTGAGGGGCCTTTCTTGCCTTAAAGTAGCCCATTTAGTTGTTATTGTAACCATGGTTTTGAGTCTATGAAGTTCCTGAGCTGTTGTTTGTCTGTGAAACTGTATGTTGTTCCTTCTATTATGAATGAGAGTCTTGCTGGGAAAAGTATTTTTGGGGAGGCATTTATTTCATTGAGTTTTTTACTATGTCCCACCACTGTTTTCGGGCCATGAGGGTTTCATCAGAAAAATCAGCTGTGAATTTTA